TGGTCATTTTGGTTTATGCAGGTCACTTGAGGACCTGGAAATTCTTGTGATCATAATAACTCATTTGAACAATCCCGCAACATCGCAAGAGCTTACAGGTCTAACCAAAGTGAGAACTGTTAGTTAACATGATTTAACTGAAGGAACCAGCGGAAATGAGGTACCCCCCTCACGTCCGAGCCGGGCAGCGCTGTTTTTTGTACTCCGAAATTCCTTCCAGGTACATTACATTTTTCATCTTCAACGACGACCTATCTACTACATAACGGTGATCGTGGCGCCAACGTTCCTGATTTCGGCCCTATCGATACTCGGAATCTTCTCACCCGGTTCAAGCGATGGTCCACGAAACGAGAAGGTGCGACTCTATGAAGCCTCTTCTTTCGTTGCTAAATGAAAAATTCTTTCAGAATTCCTCCAGCGAGAATGTGTGTAACGTCTAGATCACACTTTAGTTATCGCTCTCTTATTTTAATTTCTTCACTATAAAGCACAGTAGAAAATTCCGTCTTATCCTTTCTGCATGCCACCCTAACACTATCAGTCCATACGCCTTCAATTTCACATCTACTTTTTACACCGTAAATGTACATCTACCTTTTTGCAGGTTTCTCTGGGGCTTGGAAGTCTCCTTGCAATGACCGTGCTACTTGGAATTGTCGCCGGAGCAATGCCAAAAAGTAATTCTATTCCTCTCCTTGGTGAGTTTTTATTTTCCATATCCGCATTTTGCTGTGTCAGATGCATTACTTTTGCAAAGAATAAGAGTTGCACTCTACCACATATCCCGAGTAAAAGTTGAAGTTGTCAGCATTAGCCAATCGTTTTTGAATGTACCTACATTTGGCATTCACGATCATGGAGGTAGTGGAACTGGTACTTGGCCTATCGAGTACTTTGATGCAGTAGCACTGAAATACGAAAAGGCACCGAAACAGTGGAGGGTTGTGTGGTCTGGTGTTGAATAGAAACGAATAAATACTTCTGGCATTCTTATTGATGCCAAATACATCTGCAGGGCCAGCTGATATATAAGTTTCGTTCGGTTTTTGTTCGGCGCCCAGGGCTGTATACGAAACCAAGCTTACCTGCCCTGGAAAGGTGGAAGGTTTGGTTGGTCTGAACGGGTTCTCAAGAACCATGCTTCTTTCGATAAAGAGGTGGGGTGGGATAGATAAAGCGAGCAGAGGTACCGCTCATCAAGCGCACGCTTATGGGGAGAAAGACTGGGCGGAATTCCTTCAAAGGAAGTTGGCACGATAAATCCCTAAGACGAGTAGGATTAGTACGCCTTGCAGGATGGAATTCCGCGCCCCCTGAGCAGGCGCTGCATTGCGCCTTTTCCAGGAAAGGTAGCACCTTATCAAAGCTGCAACATACTGACCCGAACGCCCACCGCGCCCGCCCGCCCACGTCATGCTCGTATCTCTTAATTTGCGAAGTACAGTATGAAGGGATTGATGTAAAGCGGCTGCGATGCTGCATAGACGTCTTGAGTACAAAATGCATACATGAAGCCGTATCTTCCGCAACGGTTATTGGCACGATGCCAACGGGAAACTCGTCTGAGATAGCCTTCTGAGTCGTGTACAACGGAGGCTTTCTGCTGGTTTCTGACGGTTTCACCTCGTTTTTTTCGCACTTGTCCCCACTGAGTAGCCCTATGCTAGCGTTTTGGACCAAGTACCAAATAATCGTGCCATTTTTTTAAATTTTGGTCTATTATCATCAGAGAGCAGAAAAACCTTGCAAAGGCCTTGGTTTTGATGCCGGCGATCCCCCTTATCCTTTCTTTCTGTCGCCTCCTCTCCCTTGAAAACGAACTGCACACTCGCCTACGTGGATCATGGTCCTTGCCGTGTGTGGGAGAATGGTGACGCTGCCGCATTAGGGTGCCACTTACTCCGTTCAAGAATGCACGGGAACAGGGTTGGAGGCTGGTGATACCTGGGTACCGTCTCCGTACTCCGCCCGCGTTGCTGCACGACCAGTCTCACGCCCTAGCTATAGCTTAACGCGCTGTTTGTCTGCGTTCTCTCACTGCTCGTTGTTGTTCACCGCCGAGTGCGTGTTTCGCTGCGGGTCCTTGGTATTGGCGTAGGGTTGCCCCTTCGAGGATAGCGCGGGTGGGGTATGGAGACGGCACTGGGAACCGTTATCCTGCGACCCCGCACACCTTTTCTTTTTCTGAGCGAGAGAAAGCCCAGATAATGCAGTTGCGAACGCATTCGCCTTGCACATGGCAAGGACCGTCATCCGAGGTGAGCGGAGAGTTTGTCCGCAAATCGCTATACAGCTCCACATTCAAATACCACCAAGATCTTCGGCAGGTGGATATTTTGGCAGACTGTGTACTCTTCATCGCTTTTTTAGTAAACAAAAAAATGTTGGAACACACTGAATGCTCTCATCCTGCGGCACTGTG